GGATGGCAGAACCCACTTAGAGCAGGCAGGTTTTGGGGCCTCAGGGGTGCCTCTCTCTGAATTGAGGTGCCCTATAACAGAATCAGAGAATATCAACACATACTTCAAAGATCTTATTCTCTTCCTGTTCTTAGAATCACAGAATGTTAGAGCCTCCCTGGTGGTGCAAGGGGTTAAGCACTATGAAGCTATCCACAGCCACTGCAGACCTCTTCTGTCTCATCCGATGCTCCCCTCAGCAGTGTACTTCAGTCACTCTGACTCTGGTGAATACTTTCACACCTCTTCCCCCACACCTTTGGCCTGTATCCCAGTTCTTGTGTGCATAAATAGATTAAAAAACAAAATCCACAGAATTTTAAATATCCTCATTCTACAGAAAACTGTAAACCACTGAGGTGACTTACACAAGAATTTACAATAAGCAGTATCATAGTACATGAGTTAGCCTTCAAATGAGCTGCTAATTTGACATAAATTATTTCCGTCTAGGGCCTGTCTGGTGGCTCAGGGGTTAAGTCTCAGCACTATCAAGCTCTCACAGCCACTGAAGCATGATTCTGTTCAGTTGTGTGAGCTCTTTATAAATTTGATTTCAGTTCCTTATGAGAAGTATGTTGTCAAATACTTTCTCCCATTCAGTGGGGTATCTTTTCACTCTGGCTGCTGTCCCTCTTGCAGAACAGTGGGTTTTTTTGTTTTTGTTTTGTAAATAATATAATAGTTTATTTTTACATCATTTTGTGCATTTTTCCATCTCAGTTGTAATCCCCTTGGGCTTCCATCACCAAATCACCCATGTGCCATCACCATAGTCCAGTGCATTTCCCTCCCTCCACTGTACAGTGGCTTTTTAGTTTCAGCTGTTTATCTTCTTGATTTTCTTGCCTCTGAAGACAAGTTCTCAAAGGTGTTGCTGAAGCATATGTCAGTGTTTTGCTTATATTTTCTTCTATATATTTTATAGTTTCAGGTATTGTACCATGTCTTTTGTCTAGCTTGAGCTGATTTTTGTGATAGTGTGATATAGTAGCCTAGTTTCATTCTTTTGCATGTGGCAGTCCAATTTTCCCACCATCATTTGTTGAAGAGACCTTCCTTGTTTCAGGGTACATTCTTTGCTTCTTTGTCATAAATTAGTTGACCATGTAAGTGTATTTTATTTCTGAACTCTCAATTTTATTCTTTGACTTTCAATTTTATTCCATGATCTGTGTATCTGTTTTGTTTCAGTAAAATACTGTATATATCTTTATGGTTTTGTAGTACAGTTTGAAGTCTGGAAAGTTGAATACCTTTATCCTTCCCCTTTTAATGAGGAGTTCTTTGGCTATCCAGGGTCTTTTTCTCAAAAGAATAATTGCTCCATTTTTTGAGGGAATGCCATTGCGATTTTTATTGGAAATGCATTTAATCTGTAAGTTGCTTTGGGTAGGGTCGCCAATTTGATATTGATTCTTCCAATTTGTGGGCAGGGAATATCTTTTCATTTATTTGTGTTCTCTATTTTAACAATGTTTTATAAATTTCATGTATAGGTCTTTCATCTCCTTTGTTAACTTTATTTCTAGGTGTTTAACTTTTGGTATGCCTGAACTTCTTTCTTTCAGGATGACTGCATATAAAAAGGCAATTGATTTTTGTGTATTAATTTAATAACCTGCCACTTTACTAGTTTGTTTTAGTTAAATTTTCCACAGTTTTTTTTTTGTAGAGTTCTCTCTTTATATTATCATATCATCTGCAAACGATGATAGTTTTACCTCTTTCCTAATCTGCCTTTCTCTTGCCTAATTGCTAAACTTCCTTTGTGTTTATATTCATGTCTTGCATCAATTTGGTATGTTCTCTGCTATTATTTTATTTTTTCTTCTTCCCTCTTATCTCCCCTTGAGACATCCATAATCTGTATGTTGTTCTTGTTGATGTGTCCCAAAGGTCACTTATGAAACCTATTTGCTTTTATTCTGTCTTTTATGTTCCTTGGTCTCTATTATTTCCAGTATCCTACTTTCAAATTTAGTGATTCTTCTGTTTGCTGAGCTCTGCATTTGAATTTTTCTTTCATTTATTGTAGTCTTCAGTTCCAGATTTTTTTTTTATTAAAAAGTTTATTTTTACATCATTTTGCACATTTTTTTTCATCTCAATTGTAATCCCCACGGGTTTCCCATCACCAAATCACCCCTGTGCCACCACCATAGTCAGTTCCAGATTTTTTTTTTAAAAAAAGTTTTTCTCTCCAATATTTTAATTTGTTCCCACATTTTTTCCACATCTTTAAGTATTTTGTTGTTTTTGTCTAATATACACACTGTTCTTTATTTAGGAACAGGAAATTCAGCTTTTCCTGTTGCTTCATACACCTTGTGAGTTTTTTGAATCTAAAAATCATCCTGGAGATGAGATTCTGTCTTTTCCTCAACGTCTGTAACTTGTCTCTGCCAAAGAAGTATAAACCATCTGATCTAAATCACCTTAGATGTCTTCTGAGCCTTTTCTTGGGTATGTACAGTCACTTGATAACATTTTCTTGTATATGCAGTTGCTTTCAGTATCTTCATCTTTAAATCTGGCTCCCAAAAGGAGAAAAGTGAAAAATGATGGTGCACTTGGGCCTGTAATTTACTTCAGCCCAAGAAGAACTATAACAATGAGATGAGGTGCAACAATGGCTGCCCATCTCTTTGTCTACACCTCAGTGAGAAGAAGCAATCATCAATGATCAGAACACAGGTCTCTCAATATTTGGAGGGTGCAGTCTTTTTTTACCAACTCTTGCTCCCTCCACCTGTGCACAAACTTCTCCAGAAATAGCTGTGTGCCACAGAGCTGCTGCTGGGTAGTGGGTGACAAAGAGATGGATTGAAATTAATAATCCTAGATTGAAGTTTATAATCCAAGATTTCTCTTGGAGCATACAAGTCTTCAAAAAATTCCAGAGTTGCAGAATACTTAAAGAATATTGACTGTATCAGTGCAATTATGTTATTGGTGCCAAGAGATTCTGCTACATCCAATTATGGCATCTTCCTAGAATTCTCATCTTCATTTTGAAAGGATTTTTTTTTTTTTACTAAGCATTAATTCTAAGTTGACAGAATTGTTTTTCTTTTAGTACTTGAAATATGTCATTTCACTGTTGCTGGTTTGCATTATTTCCAACAAGAAGTGTATTCTCATTTTACCTTTAATTATTCTCTACAATATGTCTTTTTCTTTTGGTTGCATCAAGATTTTTTGCTTATCATTGCTTTAAAAGATTATGATATGCCTTGATATACTCTTCTTTATAGTTGTTTGTGGTATGTTGAGCTTCTGGATCTGTGGGTCAATAGTTTGATTTGAATTTGTAATATTTTGGCTTTTTTTAAAAAAAATTTTTGTTTGGCTCTCTTCCTTCTCTTCTTTACTCCTTAATTTCTTTACAAACAGGCTGCACAATATTGTCCACAGTTTGCTGATGCTCTCTATATATTTTTCCCTTGAATATTTCACATTGGATAATTTCTAGTTGCTGTAAGATTTTTGTTTGTTTTGTTCTTGTTTATTCTTTTTTTAATTTTTTTAAATTATTACAAAAGT